CCGGGATAACGCGCAGAATCCAATGACCACGCGTACCCGAGCGGTTACCGTTACGATTGGCTCGGGTTTCATTGCGAACGAAAAACCAAAGCAGTATTTTATAGGTGTTTTGATAACTGTTCGCCGCGCGGGACACGCCGTAAAACTGCGCCCGTTTTACTACGCTCGTCCCCGGGCGAGCTGTGTTTTCGCGCCGCGGGGGAAACCGAGGATGCCGGCTGACAAGGTGGTTAACGCGAGATTATTTAAAGTCAGCGTTGCAGCTCGGAAACTCGCGCGCACGGTTCTTGGGGAAGAAACGCTGTTACGGGACACGCGAATCGGGAAAGACGAATTTGTGTTTCGATATATCGTGACCGGATCTGAGACTTTTCTGTGGTTTAAGGATTCATTTGAGTGTATTGAAAAGTGATGACACGGTATGGTTAATTTCAGAAGATTGCCGAGAAGGCTGTAAAAAAGGCTGTTTGACTAAAATGAACACAATTGCTGAAACATCGATATTCGATGTTACATATCGAAGAATAAAATTTCATTAAGATTAGGATCTTTCGCTTTTGGAGATCCTTGTGATTCGAACTTCGCTGAAATCTTTAGCTTAACGTTCGACAAACGCCGACTGCAGTTGCTTCGCAATGCACCAGCCCTTATTAAAGAACGAATCACCTTATAGCGCCAATACAAGATTCCAGGCTAACGCGAAAGCGTTACAGGCGAGGGAGTTATTAATTACGTTATTTCTTTCGATTTTATAAGCCAATAAATTCTGCCGGTGTCCCCGAACGCGTCAATTATCGCGAATAATTCCATAACTAATTAACCGACATCCAATATAATGCCGGTCCATTGAAGAATGAAGGAAAAACTACCACCCCGGTATGTTCGGTCTCGGTTTATTAATTGCGCCGTTACGCCAATGGGGTCCGCGGAGCGCATTAGCATATGCTTGGTATGCGAGGTGCAGTGGTGCGTGGGTGTATATAGACACGCGGGAGGAGGGGGGAACGGCCGGAGTGGCGGGGAAAAAATGGCAAAGGTGGCGAAGAATGCGAGAAGAAAGATGAAAAAACCGAACGTGCCGGAGAAAACGGCTCGGCGACGGGGCGGCAGTGTACGAAGAATCAACGACACCGCAACGAATCGATGTAGAATGCAATTTTAATTAGGTGAACTCATGGGGAGACAAACATTTCGCATAACAGATGTCCATTAATCTTTTACTTGTAATTCTTTATTCGATCAATCAGCGTTCACGTTTAGGCGATTCAATGTTCTGCTCATTCCTCGAACTACGGCGACTTTAAATTTCCCAATTTTCTTGATTCAAGTCATTAATTTCAATAAGACTAATAAATTGTTCATAATATAATCGCAATGGCGCTGTAATTCTGATAATAGCTCAGCTGTACCCTTAATCGCGGCTCAATGATTTATAATTTCAGCGCATGTCATACTTTTACTGAATTAATCCACTTATACAAATAAAATTAACGAAATGTTGCAAATTTCGAATTATTTACAGCGTGATATACAAACTGTTTATAATACAATCCCAAAAGGCTTAATCGCAGCTCGTTAATTTCATAATTCTAACGAGTTAATTCCTTCATTTCTGTAAAGCGAACAAAATACTACAAGTTTCGTGTTATTTACAGAGCGGTATGCAAAGTGTCTGTAATATAATTACAATGACGCCCCGCGCCAGCTCAGATAGTGGAGGTTTAGCTGCAGTTCCCTTAATCGCGGCTCATGAAAATTTCATTGAGATAAGTGGAGTTCTACTGCATCGTTCGCGATTCTATTATGCACCCGAGGTACGTTGATTTGGAGAGAGGTCGGCTTCATTCGTCGGTCTTGCGCGGCGGGTGAGACGGTCGACGACGACAGGTAACAATAAGTACCTGGTAGCGCATTGGAAGCGGCGTGACTGTATGGAAACCCGAGGTGTAACGCCGCTGGAACCCGAACGCTTCTAAACGGAACGCGGCAAAGCGGCGGGCGATAAAGCGGGAACCGTGGTTGCGTAAAGATAAAGCGGCCGATACGCGCGCGTCCGCTCCCCGATTTAAACGTACCGGCGCGCGAGCATTCGTCCGCGCGAGAACTTAACGCCATGTCCAATTTGCATTATCATCGGCTTCCCCCCTTTAACGATCCGAGATACAACCGCGTGGCATGACAATTCCGTTTATTGCCCTCCCCGTCTCTTTCTGCGCGCTCGCCGCCTCCCTCTGAAGGCGGGAAACGGCTCGCGTCCTGACATCGAGCCGAGTTTTTACTGATTAAAGCGTTTCGCGAATGATCGAAGGGAAGTACAGAAACATGGGAGGTTGGACGTTTGCGTGTGGGGTGGAATTATTCAGCCGTTTGATCCGTGACTTGCTTCTCCGTGTACTCTTTACTCTTTGCTCCGTTTCGCAGAGGTATTTAACGTTGCATTAATGAGAGATGAAGTTTCTAGGATCGAACTTACTAAGCATCATGTTATGGCTTACGTTGGTGATTAATAGCAATAGTTAATTTTATATATTAAAGTGACAGGATAAAAAGTTTCACTTGACAAATCGGCAATTTTTACATTAACCCCTTGCCATATAATACTGATTCAGACTCGTGAGAAAACTCTTAAAAGAAAGTTATAAAAATTAAATGCCATTCGAGTATTTTGGGTTCAGATTAAATTCTCGTTTTCTGTTATTGTTATCTTCTGAAGTGAAGCTGTATATAGATGAACTCAGACTTCTTTGTTTTTTAATAAATTATCAGTGACAAAGTTATCCTACCTAACGTGGTTATGAATGAAATCTTAGGACAAGGGGTTAATAAATAGTATATTTTATATGTTATTTAAATAGATAATTACAGTGTCCGTCGTATTGTCTATCATAGAAAAACGCTTGCATAATTGTTGATAAAAAATAAGTCAAGGGTATGCGACTGAATCTTTATATGTATGTCGTAACTTTCTACCCTATATTGCCGGAGTATCGATTCACCCCTTTAGCGGTGCTGTATTTCATAGTATAGCAGGGAACGACTGCCAAAACATACTTTATAGCTGGCATGGGGTTCCGACAATGCCAGGCTACAATACCGTTCCAACAATACGAACTTGGATCATTCATTCGAAGCCAGACAAACGGCTGCCGCTCTAGCCAATTGACCTATTCAAGTCGTCGGCTCGAATACTTTTTCCATGAGACTAATATCTGAATGCAGCTACCGCCCACGGTAACGATTGTGTCTCTAACGGTGTGTTACGAGAGTTCTATCGAATGCCGTACTCACCGAGACAGGTGATCGCATGATCGGCCGGCGGTCGTAGGACATTTCGAGCCCAGGCTGCCCTCAAGACCTCGAGGGCACAGGGTGGTCCTCCGACCATCAGCACGCCAGGTGACACGTGACCCTTGTACCTGAGTTGTCGGGTTGCGTCCACCAAGGCTGCGTTCCACCAGCATTTGGAGTTTGCCTCCAAGAAGCTCTGAAAAATAATTGATCACGCATTTTTTAAATCTTGGTTCTTCATTTTCTCACGTTCAATTAATCTTCGAAACTAATTAAACCACTGAAATGGATTCTTAGTATCGGGCCGTAATTCAATATTGATCGTTCCAGAGCAAATGAAATCGAATAAAGATTTGGTTTCTATATTAAAGGCTCCCGTAAAAATTCCATTATACTGTGTTCAATTCTTTATTACATCGAATGTTAAAACACCGAGTCCCCTATAAATACATAAAATCCGCCTTCGATTTATTGCCACCAGATAGCTCTAGCACTCAGAACCCGCACGTTCACCGGCCTACCGGGACAATGGAGAATTCCGAACAATAAATTTCGTTTCAACACCTCGATCATCAATTAGGATTAGGTTTTCAACAACCTTTATGAGGTGTACCCTGCCTTTTATACGCGCATTTTTCCTAACCATAATATATAGCTACTCCACGCAAAGGATTTCGCTAATGACTTCGTCAATGCATGACGAAACTGTGAAGCAACGTAACGATACAGCTCCTATAATTGTCTTCAAAGAGACAAACTTTTACTGCCTCAATTAAAATTTCCCATACCTTCGCAGGTAAAACGAAGCAGTCTGCATAAATATCTCTAACGAACGTATCCACCCGAAAGAATCCACAGAACACCGAACCCATTATCTCTCGCATAAAGTCAAGCTACGAAATCCATCAAACGCCCTCCATCACCGTAATCATTCCACAGACGCTTACGACCTGTGCCCGGTAATGTACCGATAACGGAGACAATGCGTCGACGATAATCCACCGGTCGCTCACGATTGCTCAATCGACGCCATACAAATCTCTCCTAGAAGAATCCGATATTTTTTCCCTTTCGGTTGCGCAACATATGGGTCAACCTATACGAGACTTCCACAAATTGTAGTCCTCTGTGTCGTAACAGTGATACATCCTCCATTATCGGGATGACGGTCGTAGAGGAGATAGAATCTTGGCGGGCAGGATTCATCCTTTGAAATACGGCCGTGCCGGTAAGTGTTTACTGCCACGGGGCTGCGTTTAGGTTCACCCCTCTCGTAACTCGCGTAGAAACTGTGCCACCCTCGCGCAGCCTTCCACGGATCCCCCACGTAGTTACCGGCGTATATATATAGGCGTGGGCCATCATGGGGACGGAATAAGCCAGACAGTGCTCATAAACGAATGGCCCCGCAGGATTTTCACCGACTATTGCCCTCTGCTCACCCTCGTAACCTCTCCACCGTTGCCAGCCCTTTTCTTCCGAGCGTTTCCCGTTTTCCACGGTCCCTCTTCTTCACGGTAAGCCATGAAATTAGAGAGAAGTGTCTGCGCCGATTGGTCGATACGATTCGCAGTGATTCATTGCTGCCTTTGTGCAGATTGAACAGTGCATTATACTTGTGCCCGGTTTATGATCGCTCTCCGTCGAGGGGCAAACAGAGTCACCCTCGAATCATGATGTTCTCGGATAGTATCGAGGGAAATATTGTTAATATCGTGTATAAGTGTATTTCAAAGATGAAGATCCGATTTTGAAATTGGAACGTCCGATTCGCCGCCGCACGTGTGTGTTTTCAAAATGGCCCCCGAAAGAGTGTGTTAATTAAGGATTGTGAGGATATTTTTTAAAGACGGCATTTCACATTTCGAGGATAATTAAAATAAATTATCCGTTTAGTAGGCTATTAACGATCCTGGCGAGCGCGGGTTACGAAAGGAATCATAAAGCGAGGGGTCAAAATAAAAATATTTTATTCGCCGAAATTTCGCTTCCTGTTCGAACGCTTCCTGTATTATTTCAGCCGGGCCCGTGCAGGCGTTTAATATTTCAATATATTTTACTGCCTCGATATTTTAAGTAGTCTTTAAAGGAATTTTTACTCCAAGCATCCCCGGATTCGTTTACCAGAATCAGGAATTAATCGCTGTGCACGAGGCTACAATGTTTTATGTAACTGGTTAGAAAGCCGGAGTCCCGCCCTTATGCAACTTATTATAGGAAAGAGATAAAAGTACGCATTAGAGCTACCATAAAATTACGCGTCGTCGATTCTGTTAGCCTCGATCAGATATTCCCTCCCCGCTCCGTTCGAAAATCGAACGAATCGAGGCACGTTTTTTTCCACCGATCCCGTCTTCCTGAACGGTGATTAACGCGCCAGATGATATCGCCAGATTCGACGGTTTTAGACGGTAAACGTTCTTCTTACCCGTTGCGTTATTACCTTTCTATCGATTATCAATCGCGTCGCCGTTAACTTAATTACAGCCCCGCAGATCGCATCTCGTGCTTTTTATTCGGAGGTTCGTTCGGTTCTCGAGTCCTCGCCCGCGGCGTTCCGATTTCGTTTTCTTCCAGGTAATCGACCGTTTCTCGGACCGTTTCATCTCGACTGGCCTTTTTTTCACTACACTCCGTATTATCGATCTTACGGCCAATTTGCCGGAGACTGGCACAAAGCGATTTTCCTTCTGCCCCGCGTTTCTCTGTTTTCGCATCGAGCGCTGGCCAGGCTGAAGGGCCCTCCGAGCCCTGTCTGGCTCGCTGCACCTGACAGGACATTTTTCACCTCGAGCCACGATTGAAAACACTCCACCCTGGCTGACTACTCTACCGGAGGCGGGCGGCGCGAATAATTTCGCCATGTATCGACCGTCGTGGCACCCTTGTCCACCGGCTGTGACGTTTTCCGCTAATGACACCACGAATTTTGGGGGAAAGCCATTACGGCCTGATGCGGGACATTTTTCATCGAAAATCGGGATGGGAGCTTGGCAAATTTTTTATTCGCGCTGGAACTACCAAATGGGTAAACATTAGCGATACCTGATTTCTTATTTTACAATTAGAGAGGCGCGGATGCTTGTCTGGGAAATTATTAACGAAGCTGACTCAGTAAATCGAAATATAAGTCAATTGAAATCTTAATAACAGCTCATAGTTTCTACGAAGAAGTGTGGAAACGGTAACGTGGTGCTACGTCATTTTAAATATTTGGAAGAATGTTGGTCGCTTAATCTTTATTCTTTATAAATCTGTAGATAGGTACTGACTTTTGGAGATTATATGAGTTAATACGGAGACAGTGCACAAGATAACTATTGGATAACAAGAAAAAGATGATATATTTTATTTGTTTTAAATTATAGATGCATTTTTTGATTTGGAAGTATCGGTCGTTTGACCGAGCGTGGTACGTTTAGCGTTAAGCACTAAATCAAATGGACCTCATTTACTGAACTCCAAAGGAGTCTTTATTCTTCGTCGAGGAAACTCGCAATAGCAAGTTTCTCGTCGAATTGAAATCGAAATTCGAAACCGTACATTTAACACCAATGTCGAATCGAATCGTTTTCGCCGCAGGATGTTTCCCTTTCGATTAATCGGGCGCAATAACGGTCCCCGGATTTCGATTTCGATTGTGTTTCACGGTTTTCGCGCGGCGTTCGCCTAAAAATACGGCGTAGAAAGTATTACTACGAGCGAGCGTCCCGTTAACCGCAGGAATCGTCGACGTCGGCGGGTCAGCGACAACGCGGCAGCCGAGGGAACGCTCGCGTTTAGCCACGAAATCGCTTTCTTCCGAGCGGCGTGCTCAGCGGAGCAAGAAAAATGAGGTTTTGCCGGATCGGAAGATGTCTCGGCGGCGAGCGAAAGGGATCAGGAAGGGAACGATCGCGGGAAATCGATGTTGGCGCGGTCTGCTGATTGCCGATCTGCCCGCCGGGGACACGAGCCAACGAAACGGCGCAAGAGACTACGCAATCGGTGTACAATAGTTTACTGCCACGAAGCGCAGCATTGTTCTCTTTGATGTGACTTTAACACTTTGACCGGCGGGTTACTGAAATTTAAATGACACCATTTTCTATAGAAACTTAACCCTTTGCGGACGAAGATTCTTCGGAACGTGCAAAATCTTTAACATATGAAGCTAAATTATATATCATTTGCTTAATTAATAGAAAGAAAACTACGTGCTGATCTCTTACTGTTCGACTAATTAGATCATTTGATTCATTTCTTTCAAAGGGTCAACACTAGAACTACCGAACATTTAATACGATTAATATGTGAGTTACTTGGAAGCTAATGCGGTTAGGTTGATTTTTTGATATTTTCTGATTTATGTACATTTTTTCTTCTTTTTATAACTTCTGAATATGTTGTATAATAATTATGTAGAGAGATTGATTTCCTCAATTTTTGTATTATGGACTTAACCGCGTTGGCTGCTGAGCGACTCATGTAATCGCTATAAAGATTGTAGAGGCGATTATTATGAAGAATCTTGACTTTTTAGTTTCTACTCAATTAAGAAAACTGTCGATTACATGGCAGTTTTGACGAGTGTTTACTTGTCAGTCAAGGTGTTCACGAATACTTGCTTGGAAAGATGTCCGTATATCGTCGAGTTTCACTTCGAATCGGTTCGTCTACTGGAAAATAGCTGAATATAGACGTTAAAACGTCGTTAGCTGAGTACGCGAGGAAATCAATGAGTTATTGAAAATATCACAGTAGGATGCGAACGACGTGTTCACTCGTCATCTCTGATTAAATGGTTTCTCCTATAAATAGACAGAACTTAAAGTCGCGCCGGGAAGAATGTCGGCAACTGAAAATAGTCGGTGATTCATTCAACCTTCATAATTCATACAAGCTGAACGTAAACATTCAGTACGGCTTCCGGCGCGCTCCACCGCTTACGTATGAACAGTTTTTTCTGTCCCCGTTAATTGTCAGTATATTTCATTCCCATTAAAAACCTGAGGGTCTGCAATACCTCGGGGAACAAACAAGAAAGATAGTAAATTTGAATCAGGAAACGATAATTTGTAATTTATAAAGAAGCTTGTTATGAGACACGCTTCCTTGTTGAATCACCGAAAAAACACATTATACTTCAGTAGATACAGTTAATCCGCTATTGCGTTGTCAACTGAATTTTTGTAGGATGGAACGTTGCAAACAACA